GAAACAATTTTATTAGATTGTATTGTAACAGCTGTCATATCAGCATACATTAAAAAAACTTATCAAAATTGGTGAATATTTGTGTACTCATTTTAATATTGAAGATGGAAGAAAATATCCAACATTTTCAGCATATTATGCTTTATTATTTCAAGAAAGGTAAAAACACAACTGAAACACACACAAAAATTTATTTGTACAGTGTATGGAGAAGGTGCCATAACTGACTGAAGATGTAAAAACTGGTTTGTGAAGTTTTCAACCAGAGATTTCTCACTGGACAATGCTCCAGGCTCGGGTAGACCAGTTGAAGTTAATAGCAATCAAATAGAGATATTAATTGAGAACAATCAATGTTATACCACACAGGAGAGAGCTGACATACTCAAAATATCCAAATCAATAACTTTATTGATTTTAAAAACGAAAAATGTGTCCTTTATTTTACAGAAAAAAAAATGGACTTTTTTTTGCCAATTCAATATAAATGCTTACCTATATTTTCAGTTGCAGTTCCCTAGGGAAAAAAATTTTCACATAGAAATCTAATATATCCCTCCAGGAATTTCATGTTTATTTCAACTTCAAAAGGAAGCAAATAAGGCATGGCAAAAGAAAATACAAAAATGTTTTGTAGATGAACTTATTTAATTTTGTTATTTAGTGTTCAGCTAATGTCAAAGTACATTCAAAAGGAGTTATTACTCCTTTTAGTACATTCAAAAGGAGAGATTGAAGATGGCAGAGGAATAAGTGGAAGCTACACTGACCTCCTTCCTGGACCAATCTGGAATTGCAACTATTCCAGAGAATAATGTGTTTTCTTTAAAAGGTCTTAAGATATAATTTCATGTTTATTTTCATTAAAAAGCATTATAAAATATAATTGACTGATCTAATTAAACTAGGCCAAAGTTAATAAGAAAAATTGTAGAGAAAGCGCCCTAAATAACCAACTGAACACTAGCTTGAGAAAATCCTTTTAACCATGGATAGACAGAATAAACTGCTTCACCAAAACGTGACTGGTAGGTAGTGCAGAGACACAAGGGGGCTGGCTGGTCTCCCACGGGTGACAGCTGAAGATTACAGAGGGATATATCAGTGGCTGGGGCGTTCCCCTTGAGAAGTATGAGGTGTAAACCACAAGTTGGGCTCACCCATCTACATCACCAGAACCAGAAAAGAACCCAGATAATATCCAGCTGTGAAAAGCGTAAGGGTTTCTATCTACCAGGGAGATGCACAGAGCCTCTTAAAGGGCCAATGCACAAAATTTCACTTGCAGCCACTTAACCGTGAGCTCCAGCAAAAAGAGGACAGAATGGACTAGAGACGCTTGAGGAGAGTCTGGAGTTGGCTCTGGGGAGAAAACTGAAAGAACAGCTACCAGGATCCTTATGCTGAGTCATTCTTCACATTGCAGAAGCTATGTTTCTTAGAAGATCACTCATCTTCAAGTGGTGTCAGTCTGAGGGGAAAGAAGGGCCCTCCCCATAGGAATTACTCTGCCCCACACTGTGAGCTTAAGCTGGGATGCTGATTACAGCTTGATCAGTTTAACAATGGATCAGTTTAATGACTGATTAGTTTAACAACGAAGGTGGAAAATACAAAGAAGCAGCCAAAGTGGGAAGACAAAGAAACAAACCCGAAATGAAAGAACAAAATAACTCTCCAAAAGAAGTTGATGAAATGGAGGCAAGCAATACATTATAGAGAGTTTAGAGTAATGATTATAAGGACACTCAACAGCATGAAAAAAGACATAGAAACTATAAAAAAAGCACTGGTCAGAAATAAAGAATGCAATACCTGAAATAAATAATACACTGGAAGGAACAAACAGCATGGTAGATGAAGCAGAGGATTGCACCAGTGATTTGGAAGAAAAGGTAGAAAAAATACCCAAGCAGAGCAGCAAAAAAGAACAAAGGATTTTTAAAAATGAGGAGAACTTAAGAAACATTTTGGACAACAAGTAGCAGAACAATATCTGCATCATGGAAATACCAGAAGGAGAAGACAGCAAGCAAGGGATCAAGAACCTATTTGAAGAAATAATGACTGAAAACTTCCCTAATCTGGTGAAGGAAAAAGTTGCACATGTTCAGGAAGTTCAGAGAGTCCCAAACAAGTTGGACCCATAGAGACCTACATTAAGACACATCATAATTGAAATGGCAAGACTTAAAGACAAACAGAGAATCCTCAAAGAAACAAGGGAAAAGCAAGTAGTTACCTACAAGGAAGCACCAATTAAATTGCCATCTGATTGCTCAACAGAAACATTTCAGGCCAGAAGAAAATGGTATAAAATGTTCAAGGAGATGACAAGCAAGAACCTACAACCAAGGCTTCTTACCCAGCAAGGCTATCATTTAAAATTGAAGGAGAAATAAGGAGTTTCCCAGATAAGAAAAAGCTAAAGGATTTTGTTAAGTCCAAACCAGTACTGCAACAAATGTTGGAGTGCTTGCTCTAACAACAAGAAAAGGAAGGAAAGAAAGAAGGAAGGAAGGAAGGAAAGAAGGAAGGAAAGAAAGAAAGAAAGAAAGAAAGAAAGAAAGAAAGAAAGAAAGAAAGAAAGAAAGAAAGGAAGGAAGGAAGGAAGGAAGGAAGGAAGGAAGGAAGGAAGGAAGGAAGGAAGGAGAAGGGAAGGAAGGAAGAAAGGAAGGAAGAAAAGAAAAGAAAAAGAAAGAAAGAAACAGAGAGAGAGAGAGAGGGACAGAGGGAGGAAGGAAGAAAAAGGAAGAGGAAAGCAGTCTAACAACAAAATGGCACTACATCCATATCAATAATCACCTTAAATGGAAATGGCTTAAATGCTCTGACCAAAGGACACAGGGTAGCTGAATGGATGAGAAAACAAGACCAATATATGTGTTACCTCCAAGAGCCCTCCTCAGATGGAAGGATACACACAAACTAAAAGTAAAGAGATGGAAAAAATATTTCATGCAAATGGAAAAAAATAAAAAAATAAAAAGTTGGAGTAGCAGTATCTATATCTGACAAAATAGACTTTACAACCAAGGCTATAGTAAGAGACAAAAAAGACACTGCATAATGACTAAATCCAAAAAGTGGATATAACCTTAGTAAACATTTATGCAATCAACATAGGAGCACCTAAATATGAAAAGCAAATCTTGATTGATAGACATTAAATGAGAGCTTGACAGAAATACAATCATAAATGGGGATTTTAACACCTCATTAACTTCAATGGATAGATCTTCCAGGCAGAAAATCAACAAAGAGACAACAGCCTTAAATGGCACACTAGATCAAATGGATTTAATTGATATCTTCAGAGCATTTCTCCCCAAAGCAGCAGGATATACACACTTCCCAACTATACATGGTACGTTTTCTAGGACAGACCACATATTAGTACATAAAACAAGTCAATAAATGTAAGAAGATTGAAATCATATCAGGCATCTTCTCTGACCACAATACTATGAAACTAGAAATAAATCACAAGAACACTGAAAAGCACTCAAAGATATGGAAGTTAAATAACGTGTTAGTAAACAATGAATGGGTCAACAATGAAATCAAAGAAGAAATCAAAATATACATTGAAACAAATGAAAATGACACTTCAATCCAAAATCTCAGACACTGGGAAAGCAACCCTCAGAGGAAATTCATAGCATTATAGGCCTATCTCAAAAAACAAGGAAATGCTCAAATAAACAATGTAACTTCGCACTTAAAGGAACTTGAAAAAGAACAACAAACAAACCCCAAAATGAGTAGAAGGAAGAATATAACAAAGATCAAAGCAGAAATAAATGAAATTGATTGTAAAAAAAATGATATAAAATATCAATGAATCCAAGAGCTGGTTCTTTGAAAAAATAAACAAGATTGACAAACCTTTAACCAGACTCCTCAAGAAAAAAATGAAAGGGCCCTAATATATAAAATCAGAAATTAAAGAAGAGAAATAACAACTGACACCAAAGAAATGCAAAGGATTGTAAGAAAATATTATGAACAACTATATGCCAATAAACTGGGCAACCTGGAAAAAATGGATAGACTACTAAAACATGCAGTCTTCCAAAGATAAACCAGGAAGAATCAGAAAGTACTGATGGAATACTACTTGGCTGTAAAAAAGAGGAAAATTTACCCTTTGCAACAGTATGGATGCACCTGGAGAACATATGATAAATTAAATAAACCGCTTAGGGAAAGGCAAAAACCATATGATTTCACTCATATATGGAATCTAATGAACAAACTGAACTAACAAGGAAAATGGGGACAGACTCATAGATGGAGCGCAGGATGACTAGTAGTGAGGGAGGTTAGGGGATGGAGGGATTGAGCAAAAAGGAAAAAGAACTCATGGACATGGACAACAGTGCAGTGATTGCTGGGGGGAAGAAGTATAAGGATGCTAAGGGTAATGAAAAAATACACAATAGAATAAATTTTAAAAAAACAAAAAATGTTATTACAACATGATGTTTTGTTTTGTTTTATTATATTTAAGAGGTTTATATTCCTTTCTAAATTAAATTTACTGATAAGTAAGTGTTACACATTAATGCTAATGAGTATATTAGTTTTTATGTATACAAGGTCTGGCCGAAGAAAGGCCTGCTTGACTGTGGTTGGTCGAGTAATAATATGAGTGTAGTAATTTATAGTTTTAGTTTGAACATTTCACCAAAATGTGATAAATGTGCTTGGGTGTGATATTGTTATGTTACAGAATTGAATGTTTATGATTTTGTAATAAAGGTTTTGTAACAAAAAGGGGGTGTTATTTGTGTTACACCTTGTTTTTTAAGACGAGAAATAGAAAGGGGAGATTCTACATTGCTAAAACCACTGACGGTTTTCTTACATGTAAACTCACATTAGAAGTCTCCCCTGCTATGTGGAAATTACTTTTAGAAGCAGATTTCATTCACTTCTTCTTAAGGGATTGCAGATATGATAAAAACATTAAATTATATTAATTTTTATGCTTACAGATACTAATTTCAAAGAACTTCCAACTCTTCTCCACTGTGCAGCAAAATTTGGCTTAAAGAACTTGGCTATTCATTTGCTTCAATGTTCAGGAGCAACCTGGGCGTCTCAGATGAAAAATTGGGAAGGTTCAGATCCAGCACATATTGCTGAAAGGCATGGTCACAAAGAACTCAAGAAAATCTTTGAAGACTTCTCAGTGAGTTTTTTCCTCTTATTTTATCTCTAACAGTCTTTATAAAATGAGCATGTGTATCTGTCTTTGTGTGTGCACACATTCACTGCCCCTCTGAAAATGATGCTACTATGCAGCTAGTTGGTAGAGTCTGTTGGTTTTGAGTCACTCATTGTCTTAGAAAAGCATTTTGCAAAATCAGTCAGCTTATTTTAGTATTGCTGTAAACCATCTCTGACTCCACACACCCACCTTTAAGTAGCCTTTTTGAAACTTATGTGGTCCTTGTGGTGTCTGTATATCCTGTTTGATATTGGAGAGGAGATAGTGAGAAGAAAATTTAAAAAACTTATTACCTTTATTCTTTTGTTCAAAAGTCTAAATATGACATTATTAGGTACAGAAGGGTTTATATAAATGCTCACGTTGTCTCTCCCTTCAGCATTATCTTTCCACTTTCTATAACCTTTGACTATTCTCTTATATTCGGTTCTTCCTACTCCTACAAATACATATAAATAAAAAAAAAGAGTATTTATTCCTTCAAATTGTATCAACTTAATAAGGACAAAGAAATCATGATTTAAAATAAACATGGTAAGTTTAAAAAAATTATTAGGCACATAAAAGAAGATCAGTAATTATTAGGTTAAAGGAATACATTCTAATAATCATTCAAAAAATCTATCCCATAAAAAGTTAATTCATGTTGCTTAAATATGTTTCTCACTTATGACTCCTTTTCTCTCTTTGTTAAGTCTCAGGTCCTTATTATGTAGGTTGAAGACCTAAATTTCAGGACAGTTGTGTTGAAGAATATTAGTTTTGTAAGAATGCAACCAAGGGAAGCATTTCAAGGAAGGAATACTACCTTAGTACATAAAACACATTTTATGTTTTCATAATCAACTTTAGAAAAGCAATAATTTTCTGTTTGTAACAAAAGTATGCATATTTTGCTCAAGAAAGTAAATTGTAATTCTGATGGCTCTTAAGGAAATATAGTAAGACAATGGTTCTGTTGGTGAATTTGTCAAAATTTGAGTTCTTGTAAAATAAATAATTATTGCCCATAAGCATTTAATATAAAACATTGAAAGTTATAAATAGCTTCTGGTCATTTTAGCATTTATTCTGATTATTAGATTAAGTCAGTGTCATATTATACTTCTAAAAATCATTGGTATTCATGATTTTGAGAGAACAAAATAACAACTAATGTAAACTTTTTCTTTCATTTTAAGAAATAGCGAAATAGTTATCAGAAGAGCATGTATGTCACTATCTGGATTTATAATAGGATATATTTTTTCTGTATTTAAATACAGAGCATAAAGTTTTATAATAAAATTAATAAACTATTAGATTTTAATCTATGTCCTTCAAGTATAGAATAAGCATTATTTTTATTCCTGGAAAGTATTTAGGTTGTAATTCTTACATATTTGATGAGTGCATACATTTTAGTAATTAGCCACCGTGTGTTGCCATTGACCAAAGGAACATGGAAACATTGACTCAGGTAAAACAATGACTCAATTCAGCCTTGCATACTTTGGCCCATGATACTGTTAATTCAGCTACATCTCAATTCTCTACAACCCCTTTCTCAAATTATTAACCACTGGTGGACTTCAGTTAAATTTTCCCCTAAAAACTGTTCAGTACTCAGAGTTACTTTCTAAGATAAACCCTGATTTTCAAAGATTGAAGTTTCCACCTCTAGGTCTCCAGGGAGGACTCCGCTTTTAACAGTTGGAGCCCCATGCAAACCACACATGCTCCATAAATAACATAATGCTGTATAATAATGACAACGATATGACAGTGAGTATGAGCAAAGGATTTGATGGAGATGGGAAATACTTTCTCTCCCACATCCTCTAGATATTTATACCTCTGCTCCTGTAATAATAGTGCTAATATAATTTGACTGCGTTCATTGTCTTTAGGTGACTACTCATTCTTTTATAGTGGCTGCATTCAGTGTTGCCAAGTTATATTTGATAATTAATCTATGAAATTTGTTAAATGATTTTCCATCTCTTAGTAAGGTGTCACATTTGTCTACTATAGAATGTCTAGAGTAGACATTATAGTTATAGGTACAATGGATCAATTATTTTGTGAATGTTCTGCTGTCAGCAAGGACATGAATGTAGCTGTTGAAAGGGACAGCAGATTTTTAAGGGCATTTTATGGCTATGGATAATTTGGAGTACAATAATTTTGTAAGCCACCAAAGGCCTTTGGCAAATGTGTGTTTTGGAAAATGAGAACATATGTATTAGGTCACAACAAAGAAAGAAAAATGTGTTTCCTATTGATTTATTCTTCTAATTATTTATTTTATTTAGTATAAATCCAAAAGTCATAGCTTTTTATGCTTCGTAATCACATGTTGAAATTTTATATTCTAAATTATGGAACCTATGTCTTTTTATGAGCATATCTAAACTGGTAGAGAAAAATATGCAATCTCAGATACTGTTAAATATTTTATTCTTTAACAATATTTACTTGGCTTTAATGTTATAATCACATATGATAGATCTGATTATCACATATACATTTAAATTTTCCATGAACTATTGTTTAAGAATTATTGAAAGAAGTAGATATTCTTTCATGTTTGAGGTTTACAGTCTACCAATGGTCCTTTCAATACCTTCAATGGTATTGAAGAAATATATATTTTTAAGTTCAAACATATTTTACCCCCAGATAATTTACTTATTTGTTCAGTTATTATTTAATCAATCAGTGAAATATTGTACATTTTAGGTTCTCAAAGGGAGTTATAAAACAGTAAATTTGGTTATTACTGAATAAAGTGAGTGGAAGGAAAAAAACCTCATTATTTTTAGAAATACAGAAAAAAAAGAGAGCCTTTAGCATGCATTCATAAACAAACAAGTGCCATCTAGATCTCAGTGTTAGCTATGTGAAGGAGGAAAAGAAGAAGGAGCCTCAAATCACATTTCTTGCATTTCTTCAAGATGTTTTTCCTCTGAGAGGTTAATAATTTGTATACAACCTATGAACAGAGCCTCTTCATTATGAATGAGTAATTTTCACATTTTAATAAGTTATCTAATTAACACCTACATTTCTTTCATGTTTTCAGTACTGCTAAAGAAAACAATACCATATATTTCTATAATCTATAAGGTCTTTCAAATAATTTGGTACTCCGTTTTCAGTTTCTGATAATATCTCCTGGGAGAATTAATATGAAAAGTATCTGGACAAACAGAAGTGTTAGTATTTAAATCCACTGTTGGGTGTGAACTGCAATTTGCTTTAACAGAATTCTTGAGGACATCCCCAGACTATTTCACATGCCAAAGAGCAATATTGAAAATGAATTCAGTCCTTTAAAAACTTACCTTTTCAACCAAAAATACCTGAAATATGAAAATAAACTGGAACTTGGCCACTGATTAAGAGATACTTTGTGATTTAAGATAAAGCATACAGCAAAAATTAGAATGTTTTCTAAACAAAGTAATATATGATATTCCTTTCTTTTATCTTGAGCATGTCATGCCATGCATTTAGAACTCTTATACATCACTGTGTAAGTAGAAAGGAAAATAATACTTCTCTGTGGGGTCCCTATGAGATTGCAGAACCAGCAGATACTTACTTAAATTAGGACAATATCCAGATGGTGTCTTCCTTCTTCCGCCACAGTGTTCACTAATATAGTTTGTTGTGTCTGTTAATAAGATCTTAGTCATAAACAATCTGAATTTAAGTTGAATTTAAGAAATAGAAAGTTACTCTTCCATGCACTTTCTCTAGATGGCTTTTTAGGAGACTTCTGACTGGGAATCTTTCTATTGCTCTGGACAGTAATGGGAATCCGGAGACATCTTGCTCTTATTGACTCACCTAGACACTCTGTTTGCCCCTGTGGACAGTGGACTGATGTGAGTGAAAGGGGAAGAGAAAATAAGAGAGAACAAGGCAGAGGGAGAGAAAGAGAGAGAGAGAGAGATTGAGTATGTTGCCCTCTAGTGTGTGTATTTGGCTGACAGGCAATAACCATGATCTCTTTCAAATGGTCAAGGGTTTGGAATGAAGGTACAGAGGGGTAGAGGTTGAATCATTTAGAGTTATCTCTAATATAAAGCAGTGATTGACTAACTGGTACAGAGAACCAGTTACTCAGAAAACAGGCTTCTTTATGTGTTTAGGCCAGCAAATATTCACTATGCTTGGCCCTTAGTTCTCTCATCCTTAGTATTGTTTGTTTGGCACTTTATATACTGTTATGTTCTCTAGTCGACTGTTACAGTTCATTTAGTATATATTAGTATACTAATTAAGTCTAAATGGTAGCATACCCTGCTTTGCCTATGTAGTTTTTATTCTTGTAAGTCTAGAAGCTGATTACATGTAATGGTTCTCCTTTCTCCCCACATCAAATGTAGCAGAGATGCTCACTCATTGATAGGGCAGAAGGCAAGCTTTAAAATTAAGCACTTTTTTGATCTCACTTACATAATAATATACTTAACTAGATCTAATGTTTTAAATAAAATAATTGTTTATATTCTCTCTGTATTCAATATTTTTTGAAGTTTGGTTTTAGAGAATTCAGAGACAAATAGACAAACCGCTGTCTTCAGCATGTATTTTTGATAGGCTAGACTACAATGAATTTTAGAAGCCTGGCCTTTGTTCAATATTGATGTTCTGGTATAATTGAAAAAACTGGAACAAGTCACATAACTGCGCTTGACTGATGCATTACAAATTCATGTCTCAGTTAAGTTTTTGGAGCTACTTAGCAATCTCTTTCTAAAATCTCATTAAAAGAACCATAGTGGCTATCACAGAACTTTACTTTTCCCTAAGTCCTCAAACCCAGTTTTGATACTCCAACTCTGCACCTCTAAACATCCTGTTAAATTGCTTCAACCCCCTCTCTTCTTAGTCACATTTTCAATCTTTCTCTACTCATAGGGCCTTGGGATTCAGCCAGGTCTGGATTTGAATCCTAATTTCATCAAATA